AGACGCAGTACAAGCTCCCCCCTCCTCTCAGGGTTGGGATCATCCATGTGCCAGGTTCGGGGCCTCTCCGCACAGTGGAGGGGGGAACACAAATTTTGCCTTTGCCCCCAGGCACATAACACCCTTGCTACACATCTGTGATGGAGTGGAAAAAATGTGAATAGACCACATGCCACCACTATAAACAGATAAGTCCTCCAAAAGAAGACAGGTGCCTCTGAACTGCTCCCAAATGATAACAGCTTTGCTGTGACCATTTGGAAGCAGGAGAGAAGGCATCTGGCTTTGCTTGGATTTTCATATTTATCTTTGGAATGCTTACAATCAATATATTTACTTACCACTGGTCTGTGTACATCCCAAAATGCTCGCTCCTGGCTATCGAGGATTTTTCTTTCTATTTTGTCTCTTTTCTTGTCCACTCTGTCAATATTGCAGAATATTTAAGACAAACAACATTAACTGCAGTGCCTCTAAAACAGTCAATGACAAATACAGCAGTAAAACTTCAAAGAAACTCACTTTGCTTGTGCTTCAGCTTGCATAAAAATAAACTCCCATTTCCGGGCAAATGCTCGCTGTAGCCTGGCCAAACTCTCCTGTAAATACAGTATAAACTAATTTAACGGTGCTTTAACTTATTTATTGTCTCACAGTTTTAGACTATCTTCCAAATCTCTAAAAGATGATGTTACACTCAAAAGTCACAAAAGTCAGGCCAGTGCTAATATCTGTTTATCTGGTAGAAAGAATCAGACACAGCACAGGACAGAACACAGGGGCAAATGTAATGTAGACTTTGTTTCTTTAAGAGCTGGAAATCTGCTGAAAAGTCTGGGAACAGTTTTAAGGAGTTGGGGTGGATTCTGCAGAGTTTGGTGCTGCCAGAAAAAAACATACCAGCAGCAACTTTTAGGAGTGTGCTTCAATTATAAACTGTAGCCAGGTCTGGAAATGTAACAGTGACATTAGTTTGGTACTGCCATTGATTCACGCTGAAACTGCCATTTGTCTTCTGTATGAGCTGTTTGTGTTGAGTATTATTGGATATGTTGTTTCTAGAGATTACTTTAAGCTGGAACATTAAAAAGCTATTTTTGGAATACAAACTCCTTGTACAGAAAATTGACTGCCGGTTATATGCTTTTAAAAATATTTGCAGACTAAAGCTATTTTCGTGTAGAATATCCATTTCATTATAAATATTTTGACAAGTCTTGGCATAATTCTGCACTCAGATTTGCTGGTAAATCTTGAACAATTCCATTGGTAGCAATAGAATTATTCTGGACTTTCACTGATGTAAATAGAAGCAGAATTTGGTTTACTGACTTCAAGAGAGTTTGAGATACACAATTTCTCCCCATGTCCCCCTTTTTGTGTTAATTATAATAAGAGTCACTGAAAAAATGTCTAGGAAATTGGTATCAAATAATCTGATTGTGACCGTATTACATATTGACAGAAGACTAGCAAAGGGATATGCCTTCACAATCCAATCAATAGGCCACAAAATCTTATAATAAGATAAGAACATAAGAATGGCCATACTGGGTCAGACCAAAGGTCCATCTAGCCCAGTAGCCTGTCTGCCGACAGTGGCCAGCACCAGGTGCCCAGATCTGGGAGTGAATCTTTTCTAGGGTGCTGTAGTTCTCAATAAGAGGGGAAGATGCAAACAACATTGGCTGCACCAGCAGTGAATCAGACCCTGAGTCATACGAGAGCAATAGAACCAGATCCTCTTCAATGGAACTATGGGTATGTCTACACTAGCTCATTAATTCAAGCTAGGGAAGGCAAATCAGGCTACCGGAGTTGCAATGAAGCCCGGGATTTAAATATCCCGGGCTTTATTTGCATGTTCCCGTCCGGCCACCATTTTTAAATCCCCCTTAGTTTGAATGAACTGTCCGCGGCTACACGCGGCAGTTTAAAGTTAATCCGAACTAAATTTTTAGTTCGGATTAATTGTTACACCTCATTCCATGAAGAGTAACAGTTAATCTGAACTAAGAATTTAGTTCAGATTAACTTTAAACTGACACATGTAGCCGCAGGCAGTTCGTTCAAACAAAGGGGGATCTAAAAATGGCAGCCGGACGGGAACATACAAATAAAGCCCAGGATACTTAAATCCCGGGCTTCATTTGCAAATCTGGTTGCCTGATTTGCCTACCTAGCTTGAATTAACAAGCTAGTGTAGACATACCTTTATACTCCTAGCTTTCACAGACTCCTCTGGCAAAGAGTTCCACAGGTTGACTACGCACTGTGTGAAGAAGAATTTCTTTTATTAGTTTTAAATCTGCTACCCATTAATTTCATTTGGTGTCCTCTATTATGTTCTTCTATTATGGGAATTAAAAAATACTTTTCTTTATTCACCCTCTCCAAGATACCATGGATAACACTCATTCTGCTGTAGCTCTTTTTGGCTCTAGCCAAACTGGAGGCCTTACACACTGTAGTACACTTCTGGAAAACATAGGATCACGTTTGTCTCCAACTGCATAAGATTAGTGAACAGTTCACCTAATGCTGGGAAAACAATCTCTACACAATTAGATTAGAGATGGGCCCAAGCCAAAACTTCACTTCCCAAACACCCCTGAACTTGGGAAGATACGAATTCAAACTTTGCAGTTGGACCCCCTCTCTATGGCTTCTTGCACCAACAGCCTGGATCCAAACACTGCAAAATTAGGAGAACACTTAGGATTTCTTTCTATCTATTGAAAATGTCCTCACCTTAATACCCCTCTAAATTGTGCAGCTGCACGGATTCCCATTAAGCCCTGCACAGGGACTCGGGGCTGCACCAGGAGCAAGATTTCTCCCCAAGCCTTGAGGTTGCCGGGGCCAGCAGGGAGGAGCCTCTCCCCACTGGCTCCAGCTCGGAGCTGCCATGGACAGCTGGGGGCACCCGTCCGTGCCATCCCCAGCATGGAGCTGCTGAGGGTAGCAGGCGGGAAGGAGGGAGGGAAACCCTCCTGCTGGCCTCAGCACAAAGCTTTCAAAGATGGGGAAAAGGGTCTTTCCTCACTGTCAGCATCAGGGAGCCTCAGGTAAATTCAAGTCCCAACCCCCTGACCCGTCTTGAGCCCCAGTTCTGAGAACCATCCTGCACCCCAAAGCCCTGGCCCCACCCTAAACCCCCAGTCCAGAGTGGGTCCCCCTCTTGCACACCAAACCCCAGATCTGAGTCCCTCCCCAAATCTTGAGCCTCCATCTTTCACTCCAAGCCCTTCATCTTCAGCCCCACCCGAGAGCCTGCACCCCCAGCCCATCAAGTTGCAGAACCCCTTGGCCCCACTCCTGCAACTTGATTTTTTTTGTGCCCCACTATGAAGGTGTATCTAAGAAAATTCATTCCACTCAGGGGTGAAAAGAATTAAAGGGAACATGGCACACACTCTATTTTCATTGCTTAGTATAATATAGCAGGCTCCTGTATACAACAGTTGCCAAATGCCTAGGAACCAGTTCAAACTACTCCATTTATAAACCAATGCACTAGAAAAATTCTGTGGCCTTTGTTTCTAATGTACTCTATATTCTGCTGAGCTTTGAATTCTCCTTTATTTGACAACTCATTTCCAGGAAAGGCCCCAGGTACTTACTGCTTCATAGTCTGCTAGCTCAAGACGTGCTTTGTTTTGCATTGTTCGCTTGCAGAGGTAAACAGCTAGAACACAAAAAAATAAATCAATCATTTCTTGCCATTCCACAAACATGAAAGCCCCAGAAATCAAAATCTCAAGGTTTCAACAACATTCCATTGACACTGGCTGGTAGTTTCTTTACCTCTGTGTTTCTCCCTCTATAGCAGCGGCACGTTAGCCATTAAGCCATCGGGGAAATGGCCAATTGGGGTAGGAGGTCCTGGAAAAATGGGCACTCCTGGAGCCCCAACTCACTCCAGCTGCCTGGTGCTCCTGCTGGAGAATGGGGGCTTGTACCACTCCCTGCTCACCCACCTAAAAACTCTGGAAGCCCTTGTATCCCAACCCCACTCCCTGGCAGGAGCACTGGAGGGGGGTGGGTGGACTGCAGATGAAAGGTATAGGGAGGGATTCCCACTCTACCCTGGCCTAGAGCTCTAATTTGCTTCTGCTCCATAGTCAAAAGTTTTAGAAGCTTGGGGGGTGGGGTTGTCAATACATCAAACAGAATATATGCTGAAGTGTAGCTTCCTGCAGAGCGATTAATTTCATAATTATACAGATCACTTCACATAACAGCAGTAAAAAACAAAGCACTGAAGGTGGGTTGTTATTGTTCTTTTTTGTCTGTTCAGTTTTGGTTTAAACCTAGTGGATTATCAGGAGATATTGTCCTATTTCATTGGCAGAAGGATTTTCTTTATTGCCAATTTATATATCACTTTCCCTTTGCACAGACACCCATCTACATCAAGAGAAACTTGCCATTAAAAAGAAAAAGGGAATAACACATACAAAAACTAAAGGCTTGTTAAGTGTGTCTGCATATGGGAAACATCTGTAAGAGAAAACAATGTGACTGAAAATGAAAAAGGAGCAGCATATCTTTACATGCAATAGTGGGAACAAAGGTAGTCTTATTTACACTGTGGTAAATCCAAAGTACTTTCTATGAGTTTGGCAGCCTTGTTCTGGATTCACATCTGTGTAACTGAACTGAATTTTGCCAACAATATTACAAGCAACAAATGCTGAAAAGAAAAGGGTTGAAAATCAAACTAAAGTGAGACAGAAGACAAATGTTAGCATTACTCACAAAGTCATTACATTAGATCCTTGATCCTGCAGCATAGTTCATGAATCCAAAGTTTCTATTCAGTTAAACTGCAAATCCTACATGCTTCATTTAGGAACAAATCCTACCCTCCATTCCAAGCCTCGGTAACTGTATTTAATACAGTGGATTCCCCCAGAAATGAGGTATAAGAGTGAGAATTTCCCCTCACAAAGCTGAAGAGCAACATGATAATCCTTTCATGCCTTCACAACCCACCTCTTCTGTGGGGTATTTTGGCCTTTTGGTTTGATTGATATATATAATCAAGGACCCACCAATCCATCCTTGGACTCTGTGCTGGGCAAATAGAGACCTCACAAAGCTAGGCTATGAGCAAAGGAGTCCTGGGCCCCCAACTGCATCCCTACATAGAAAAATCCTTTTCTACTGCTGGCACAGATTTGAAAGTTTTACCTCTAAAAACTCAATCCTAGAGTCCCTAGAACAGCAGAAGGCACTTGTGTCAAATCTAATCTTGTATTTTAAGGAGGTCAAATCAATAATGCTTAAGATTCACACACACAAAATTCACTTCAAACAAAAGAATAAATCTTACGAATAGTTTCAATCTGACTTGCTCCCCCAGACACAAGGCATTCTGTTATTTTACTGGAATCACACAGGGTGAAATCCATCAGAGAACATAACGTTCAGAGGCACTTGCAATAAGGCCCACTGATGGAGGTGAGGTGAAAGGGGACAACTGCCCCAAGGCCCAGCAATTCAAAAAGGCCTGGGGCCCCCAGCTGCCGCTGTCACTACTGCACACTGCTCTGGGGGGCAGTGTGGCACACTTTGAGCAGTGCTGAGGTCTGGCTGTCCTGCCCCACCCCTTCCATCTGAAGCTCTGCCCCTTCCAGGAGCACGGAGCTGGCCCACCCCCTTGCCCAGGGGCCCAGAAACTCTGTAGACTCCCCAACTTGTGATGAATGTAACTGGGACTCCAGATATTACCTAATGCAAAGAATTAAAATTTGGCTCGCATGGTATTGGGTCTATTCTCCATTTGTTTTCTTTCCATTTTCCTCAAAAGAGATTCACTCCATCATCTCAGATATTCACTCTGATCTAAAAGAAGAGGTGCCTCCTCTGATAATACAAAGCTATATCTATCATCAATTGTTACAGGTGATTTAGCAGGCTGAGGTACAGAATTTAACAGCCCCAATTTCAATGCATTTTTAAAGCACCATATAGGTATGCTACTGCTTTAGGCTTGGTACAGTCCAGCTTATTTTTCTTATTCTTTTCAAAATTGTTTTCTTAACTGACTGAACAAGCAAAATGACCCTGTCAGTGATAGTTCTAATATATTGTGAAGGTTTTTTTTAATGTATTTATTAAAGATGACTACAAAGGGTTCAAGGAACTCCATGAGTTGAGTTTAAGGTAGTAAGGTCCTTTAATCTCTTTAACATCTCTTTAATTATACTTAGAAAACTCCTATTCTCTTCTTTTGCTTGGCCTATTGTAAAACTAATATTCTTAGAGGATAGTTGCCAACCTATTTTCAATATATTTGTTGTACTTTGTTCATTGTCGTCAGCCTAATATCCCTTTCCAAAATATTTATTCCTTCAGGATCAGAATGGCCATAGCAGAACAAGTCAATGATTCACTTGTTTGGAAGTTTTTCTTTGTCAGTTTCTAATCCAAGATGAGTCAGATGATGGGCTGAACATCCCATAATTTGCTTAATTCTGCTAGACCAGGGCAATTTCATGAGGACCCAAGATAAATACTGTAGTACTTCCCCCTGACAATTATAAGAGTCTAATACTGTTTCAACATTTACTATCTGGAGTAAAATGACAAGGGCTCACAGTTCTCATGCTTCTAGACATATGCTCATCACAGATCAATGGGACTGCTTATGTAAGTGCTACCTCATGGGAGCAAGAGTTGTAAATTCAGGTCCCTGGCATGACTCTTAAATGGTGATAAAGATCAGGAACTTAAAATGCCATTGCATTCTTTCCTTCAGCGTAAATAACTTTCTGTAGCCCTAGACTAAAGATTCTTTTTTTTTCACCAAGGTAAACAAATTTCAACAATAAAAGTGGGGTGACACTATATCTGAATGGTACATAAGTAACTGTGGGACCTAGAGAAGTAAGGTTCATTGAACTGAGCTTCCTTAGTGAGGTATACCACCTGGAGACCAGCATCTGGTCCTGAAGCATGAGGATTGTCAGCCTTTGCCATTTTATCCCAGTTAGAAAATTTCAGAACAAGATTAGACTCCTTTAATTACAACATCTGCTGTTATACTATGTTATTTGTCTCAGTAATATCTTGTGGCAACGAGTCCCACGCCTGTCTCCTTGAAATTCCCATCTAATGACTTCTTTTTAGTATGCACATTTCTCAGCCAGGACTTCAAAACTATTATGTTTATCCCTCAAGCCTTTCCTCCAGGGTATTAAAATGCCTCTCTTATTTTAGTAGTCTAATGATTATTCCATCTGGCCTTTTTTATACTCATTAAAACTCTTTCTACATGTCAGTGTACTTAAGGCAGAGTCTAAAGTGTGCCCTGGAGGATTTATCTGTCTGGGATGTAGGACATATCTGCCAATGCCAAGGCAGAAGAAAATGGTGCTCAAGGACACTTCAACTCTTCGGTTCGATTTCTCCTCTCACCCTCAGCTTCCCAATCATTATACTGTCAGCACTCACACTTTGAACATGAATGCAGCCATTCTGGAATATTGTTAAGGGCTTCTTGAAGGCAGCAGCTCAGGAATTTGAGTTGGGTTGTTTGCACTTTCCTAGACAATAATAATACTTTAACTCTTCTAGAGTGTACTTTAGCAACAGACCTCAAAAGAAGGGGCAAATATCACCCTCCTTTTACAGAAGAGGAAACTGAGGTACATACAAGTATAATTTTTGTTAAGTTTAAGAGGAATGGGAGTTGGAGTTAGGGATGCCGCAACAAACCCTCCCTCAAGGCACTGATTGCACAGTACTTCCCTGACCTTTCCTTGCCCCATCTATAACAAAAGCAGTTTACAGTTACTACAGATGGTGTAGTCTGGCTTGCAAGAAAGGGAGCAAATGAGTCAACTGTTTTCCTCCCTTTGTCTAAAGCAGTCAGTCATAAACAGTTGGTTCAACAACAGGGTGAAAAGCACAAGCCCTTCACTTTTCCCCACCCCAAACGGCACACCTCAGACAGACAGAGAATTTGCTCCACCCATGAGTGTCCCATTGGCCTGGCTGGAGCTGCCCCCAAATATAGAGGTCAAACTATGCTTATGGAGAGGCAGACCAGAGTTCCCACTGTTTGGAATTCACATTGCTGCTATGCATGCGTCTCTAGAGAGGGAAGTCTGATCTGTGGAAATGCTTTTAACAACAAAGGCCTCTCGTTTTTACATATTTATATGTATGTAGGGGGAGAAGGAGTTGACAAGTTTAAGTAGGTGGTGTGCCCTCAAGAAGACCACAATGAGGTCAGAGGCACAGTTACATGGGGAACTATCACATTGTACAAACTGGTTATGTTGCTCTCTGGAAAGCCATCAAAATAGTACTAATTGAACTTTTCAGCAAACAGTGTCATGTGCCAAAATAGAAGTTAAATACTGCATATGTAACTTCATAATTGACAAGATAGGGCCCTAAACATTGTTTGGGCCAACCATGAAGCAATGTCTGCCATCCACTACAAACCAGTTCAAAGCAGTCAACAACTAGATTGTCACCGGTGACAGATCAGAATTTGGCCTGCTCATTTTTAGCACATCTCACAATAAATCCACCATCTCAGTGAAAGTACCTAAATGCAACAAAATGCTTCATAAAAATTACTTGACACGAGAACAAACAGTCTATTAATGCAACAAAACATGATTCATAATCTCAGTTTGCCAAACATGGACTGCAACATACAATCTTATT